CTCCCTTCAAAACATATAATTATAGAAATTGAACATTGTTATTTAATAAAGAACATCACTTCTAATGAATGGCAGGGACTTTAGCTAATCTGAACTAATAGTTGTAATAGAAATGCAATTAGAAATCAGTTTGTTCATTGTAGCTGTTCCGTATCTATATAATCCATCATTTTATAGAGCTTATTATATTGTTTCTCTTGATTCAAAAGATCTTATGTCTTGCACTGCCTTATGCTGAAACTCCAATCAAATAAAATGGGAACTATCAAGAAAAATAAGTAAAAAGAATACATGAAGAAAATAACAGATTATAGAAAAACTATGACGCCTGAATCTACTAAGAAACACTACTGAATATTTTATGTGCTAAAAATTTTAGACGTACTGGAATGTAATTTCTTGGATCCTCAGAACTTTTAGGAGGATTTTAGGTGAGTGAATAGAAAAAGTAATGAAAGACATATTATTTTGTTAGAGTCCATTCACCCAATCCATTGAATACGACATATTTGACAGTTTATATTCAGATGATTTTGTACAGTGAAAGAATCAGTTACTCTTGCTTTTCAGCAGGTCAAAAACAAACTGCTGCAGTAAAAATATATAGTACTCTTGAATCACATGATGACATAATTATTTTTCTTTTATTTTTCAATTTTTGTGAATTAATTTTTAAAATTCTATAATATGTCTTTAAAATTATCTGATAATTGTCAATATTCATTTTGGCAAAGAAAGAGCATATTTTTGGTAGAAAACATCATGCCAAAAAATGTCCGTTTTCTCCTATAGCCGAACACACAGCATAAGGTGCAGCTTCCTTTGAGTTCAATCAATATTTCTCAAGTGAAGATGGACACCCATAGTCCACAGATAGATAGAGATAGAGACGATAGAGATATCTTTTGATTTAATACACCTTTATAATGATCCAGCTAATTGTCAGCTCCCAAACTATAATAAATACCATACATGTAGTTATAGAGTAAAACAAACATGGTGGCACATATTACCAAAGTCAAATATATTCACTTTCTAAAAGTTAACTCTTGACTTTCCGAAGCCTTCAACACCCCAAAAGAAGGATGCTTTAATGGCAGAAAGATTAGGGATAGGTTAACATTTGATATCATGAAGCCTTGACCAATAATCCTTCAAAGTCCACGATGAACATCTTTATTGTGTCTCTCTGCAAGGTTGGCCCAGTCTGAGATAGTTTTCTGTCACATATTTAAATATATACATAGTTTTTTACTAATTTATAAGTTGATAGTAATAGAATGAGGCTTTTTCTAACCCCCTTCCATGTAAATATTCGGTGTACTTATACAAATAAGGAAAATCAGGATCTAGATAATTAGAAACTCTATGAAAGAAAGATATGTTCAATTCAAGAATGCAAGGCTCACTGAACAGTTTTTATTCTATTCTGGTCAATAATTAAAAGTTATGCCAAGGCTGCTTTTTTTTTTGTATTTTTAAATGATTTTTAATCGTCTATGTCTTTCATTTTTTATGCAACCTCATACCAATTCCAAAGAGTAATTGGGAATTAAGTGCAGATGAGAATTTTATGTTTTATGCAGTTAGCCCGGTGAGAAAAAGGAGTCAGACACCATTATCTCTACCCACATGAACCAGTCAGTAAGAAAGTCTTATTGTCAGAAAACTATAACTAAAGTCACATAATGAGAATTAAACACCAGGGTAAATTTTTTCAAGCTTCAAGGTTTTTTCATTTAATACCAAAATGTCTGACACTTGCAAGCAATTTTACAGTGTCTATAAATGACATTTTTGTACTTGTAATAAAAGTGGTTTAAGCACTTCCAGAGAACTTGTGTTACTAGTAAATTAAAACATTTATTTTACAAGCAGAAGCCGGACATTTTTAGAATGCCTTTTGAATATGTTTTCCTTTTGCATGATCTTAAACCACAGAAGTAGCGTGGCTGACTGAGAAAATGGCATCACTGGGCCTTTTGTACAATAGTCATTGTAGGTCATCTAAACACTGCTCAAGGAGCAGTTCAGAAACGCCCCAATTGAAGGGGGCTTGGGAGGTTAATTCTGTCATTACTGCGTTGACATGAGGCATGCTGCAGCCTTCAGCACAAAATGTTACTCGTAATCTTTTAATCCCAAATTAGGTCAATATTTTATCAAGTTAATCTAGCATGAAGATTAATTGTATTAGTTACACACACATATACACATGCAGGTTATTTGTTTTAGAAATACTTTTAATCAAAGAGCAAACCCTTGGTTATAATAGATGATTTTTCACTCCTTCTAAAACTATAGCATGCCTTGTAAAAATCATCCTTTCTCCAACAGTATTTATCTTTTTAAAAGAGACGTTTATTCTTTTCATTGATCTTTAGTCAAGACTGATGTTAGAAAAAGGATAATAATGGTCCTATTATTACTGAAACAAGGACCGTTTAGAAAAGCTGTTTATGAAGAAATGACTTCAGATTGAAATGTTTTTAATAAAGTATCTCATACTTCAGTCTCTTATTTCAATTTAATTCTACGGGTTTTCTTAAAATGTATAATTAGTCCTATAAAGAAAGTCAATAGTTTTAATGTATTTACTTCTTTGTATCTCTAAGCATGTTTAAAAATATTATAACAAGGCATATAAAGCATGTTTAAAAATATTATAACAAGGTATGTAAACTAGAATGGTCTTCTAGAAAGTTATCATATTAGTTTTATTCAGTTATGAAAATTGGAATAAGGTGTCTTGTTTTCCCCTATCCCTTTTTAACCTAAAACTAGAGTTGAGGGGGTGAGAAGGTAGAAATATATTGATCCAAGTGGCATAAATCTGCTAACAGAATCATTAGAGTGGACAATCACCTTTCTCCCTGAGTTTCTTAGATAAGAACATTCTGGTAGTTTAAAATCCCCAGGCATCATTCTGGGTAGTTTTGCAAGCCCCGCTAAGTGTCAGGACAGAGTTCATGCCCTGTTTCATCAGTATCCAGTGACATTCTCCAAGGTTCATGCCAATTACACAGATTTCACAGACAACGTTTGAGATTATTGCAGCTCAAAAATTTAGCTCTCATCTTTAAATAGTGGTTTCTGGAATCGTTAGTGAAAAATGATAGGTAAGTATCCAGAAATATTTTCATATGACCAGCCTTTTGAATTAACTAGTAGGTTAAAATCAAATCCTTCATGCGAAAAATATATAAACAATGATCTCAGTATCAGATACTTCTAAGAAGAAGATGGTTGACTGAATTGGAGTTAAAGTTCACAATTCTGAAGGTCAATCTTACAGTTATTATAAATTTGAGACAAGCTATGTTGAAGAAACATGCCAAAGAATTTTTTTTATTTTTCTACTGCCTACATCATAAATTTTTTCATAATAAAAATTATGAAAAACCCGCTTCAATTTTCTAAAAGTCAGTCAAGAACAGGATAAACATAAAATAAAAACAAATATTTTTGGGAAGGATACTACAAAAATATGTCCAATGAAACCAAAAGACTTATACTGCATATGAGATTCATATGAAATAAGTAGATTTTAGCTGCTCTCCCCACAAAAATAAACAAACAAAAAACTGGTAACTATGTGGGGTGTTGAAGGAGAAGTACGAGAAAGAGTTTCTGACAATATACTTTAATTGGCAAGAGGAAAAAAGACAAACAAAACAGAAACTACGATGGCATCATCATCGGTGATGTGGTCTGGTGGTTAAGAACATGGCCTCAGGAGCGTGCAGACCCCATTAGGAACTGGGACTCCACCACCCAACAGGGAGGGCCTTTGGGAAATGGCTTACCCCCTCTATGCCTCCATTTCCTAATCTGTAAGGTAGGAATCATGATTGTAGCTTTTTGTAAGAATTAATGAGATGAGGAAAGCAAAAGCATTCAATGAAGTACCTTGATACTTGATGAGTGCTTAAAAATTTTTAGCTAATATTACTGTCTTCACTATGCCATACAAAAGAGCTAAGTTGTGAGAAAAAGGCAGGAATTGCAACTGTATGAACTGTAGTATACAAACCGAAGACACCTAAGAAAGCTTCACAAAGATCAGCCACAGGTGGAATTTGAAGGATGGGTTGAGTGAGGATAGGGAAAGAAAGGAATGTTTTTCAAGGTAGACAGCAGAAGGCAAGGGGAAGTAGGAAGGCACCAAGAGAGGCAGATATGAGCACAATGTGAGTTGTGGGGAAATGTTGATAAAGATAGAAAAATCTGCTGGACTAAAGCATCAGATGGTGCCAAACTATGGAAAATTAAATTTTATCCAAAAAATTGAATCAAATTACATAGACCCTTAAATTGTCTTAAGGGAGTTTGCCCTGGATCCAACTGGGCAAGTGTCAGTAATATTTCAGAAGAGAACTAACTTCTCACTACCCAAAAGTTTTAAGGAGGGAGGACAGAGAATGTGTGCATTACTCAGGTGAGTAATCTGAGATGGCAGATGTACAACTGAGATGCCGGGATGTACAACTCAGATTTGGAATAATATCTTCCATGAGGTTGTAGATTTTTGATCACAGGTATGTGGGATTTTAGAGTTGGAGGGGGGCTTAGGACTCCACTAGATTCATTTTTCTTAGAAGGACAGGAAGACTTGGAGAAGGACACATCCAAAGTCATCTTTGTCCAGGCCACTTTGTCTCCCTCTGCTCTGTTCCACCTGCCATATTAAGGGATGGATGGGATGACAGCTACATCTTCAGAAGATTAACTGAGCAGCCATGTGCAGGCTGAATGAAAGGAGGAAATCCTGGAGTGGGAGAAGGAGGGAAGCTGTGGTAGTAATCCAATCGTGAGGACAATGGCAGCAAGACGTAAATGGGGGGAACAAACCTTCAGTTATAGTTATTATGAATGTAATGCAAAATTATATTCTATAACTTCTTAACACAAAGTCAGCAGTAGCATCAGGAAATTGAGCAAAGCTTTTTATGATGCTGCTACTTTTTCATACCTTATCCATATCACCCCCTCCATGTTACCCCTCTCATCAGAAGTGTCACTGGTTCATTGCTGTTCCATCTCCAACTTGATCTGGCATCTAAATGAATATGACATCGAAAAATATGTGATAAGTGGAGAACCTGAGTTTTGACAGAATTTGACTTCAAATTTTCCCCTCTAAATGGAAATGTCAATCATATATGTACTTGTAGCTTGGAAGATGCCCTAAAGCAAATTATTTTTCCCCCCAGGGAAAAAAAGTGACATTTTACAGCTGACTCAAAATCATGAAATGAGGTTGCAAAGGCACAGCTATTGATTTATGATCCATATTCATAAATGTATTAAAAGAGAGTTTATAGAAAGTCGACATGGTCCATACAAAAGAACTAAGTTTTAGAATTAAGGTCTCTGGTAGGCAAGATTTCAAGAAAAACTCTCCCTCACGATCCTGAGTCCTGGTATACACACATCTTCTCTCAATTACTCAATCAAACTCTAATCTAGACACTGCAGGTGTAATTTAGGTCCCGAATCAATCGACCTGGCATTTTTTACTTCTATTTTAATACTTACATTGCCTTTCTCATGAAAATTTAACAAAGTTAATGCAATATAATATTTATGAATTAAGGGCAATATTGTCTTTTTCTCAGTTACCACAGTTAAGTCACATTTTATTATTTTACTTTAATTAATGTCAATAATTGGCCTCTTGACTGTGTCTTGCCTTCCCACTCCCACGCTCAAGCCTGTCTACTCTCCACTTGCAAGATTAGTACAACTGGAGTCAGATCCTGCTTCAAGCGTGTCCATCCCCCAGATGGAGCACATACACTCATTATGTATGTATATACCCATCCCCTCCTCCCCCCTCCCATCTGCCCGATGCCTGATAAATATTATTCCTATATGTCCACTTAGGTGTTGATCAGTTAATACCAATTTATTGGTGAGTACATGTGGTGCTTATTTTTCCATTCTTGGGATATTTCACTTAGTAGACCCCAAAGGCAATCACAGCAGCAACAAAAATAAATAAAGGGGACATGATCAAATTAAAAAGCTTCTGCACAGCCAAAGAAACTGTCAAGAGAGCAAACAGACAACCCACAGAATGGGAGAAAATTTTCGCAAGCTACACATCTGATAAAGGGCTGATAACTAGAATCTATTTAGAACTCATGAAAATCAGCAAGAAAAAATCAAACCCCATCCAAAAGTGGGCAAAGTACATGAACAGAAATTTTTCAAAAGAAGACAGAATAATGGCCAATAAACAAATGAAAAAATGCTCAACATCTCTAATCATCAGGGAAATGCAAATCAAAACCACAACGAGATATCACTTATCTCCAGAGTGAATGGCCTTTATCAAAATGTCCCGAAACAATATATGTTAGCATGGATGCAGAGAGATAGGAACAAACTAGTGCAACCTCTGTGGAAAGTAATATGGAGATAGCTTAAAGAGATACAAGTAGATCTACCATTTGATCCAGCAATCCCATTCCTGGGCATCTACCCAGAAGAACAAAAGACACTTTATGAAAAAGACATCCGCACTCAAATGTTTATAGCTGCACAATTCATAATTGCAAAGATGTGGAAACAACCCAAGTGCCCATTAATATATGAGTGGATTAATAAAATGTGGTATATGTATACCATGGAGTACTATTCAGCTATAAAAAACAATGGTGATATAGCACCTCTTGTATTTTCCTGAATAGAGCTGGAACCCATTCTAAACTGCACTTTTGTTTAGGAAAAAATAAGCCTATGTTCTTAAATGGCCTATAGGACATTGGCTCCCTGGATCCTGTTAATATTTGGCCTTGAGGCCTCAGCACCCCCTATGACCTGTGCTCAAACACTCTTCCCCCAATATCCTCACGGCTCCCTCCCTCTGCCCTTTTAGATCTTGACCTAAATACTATCTTCTCATGGGATCTTTTCTTAGTCAACATCTTTAAAACTGCTTTAAAAATCTGTTTAAAACTCTCTATCCTTTTCTCACTTAATTTTTATCATAAGCATTTTCCCATATCTAATATATCATACATTTCCTTTATCCATATGTATGGCCCACAAGATAAATGTTTGTCTACTTCACTCAGGACGGCTGTTGAATTGCCAGTCCCGTAATGGTGCCTGCCACATAAGTGCTCTATAGATGTTTTTTTAAAAAAAACATACAAGAATGATGCAAATAAAAAGGTAGCAAATAATAAATAATAATGCTAGAATTTAATCGTCTTTTGCCTGTATTAGTTTCTTTAAGATAGTTATTAACAATATTTATGCCTCAATTTGATAAACGTTTTGTGCTTTTCTGGCATTTTCCACTTATATTAGCTTATTGACTGTGTTAGTTTTCTATTGCTGTATAGTAACCCCCAAATGGAGTGGCTAAACACAACAAGTGCCTACGATCTCAGTCTCCGTGACAGCAAATCCGGGTGCAGTTTCTCTCGTCCTCCTGAGTCTCCATCTCTTACCTCGTCCCTTATTGAGGCTGCTGTCAAGCTGTTGGCTGGGTCTGCGGTTCTCTCAAGGTTTATTAGGGGCTGAGGAATCTATTCTCAGGTTCATTTATGTAGTTGCTGGCTGCTCTGGGTTTGTTGCCACGTGGCCACTCTATGACTGTCTGAGTGTCCTTATGACTTGGTAGCTGCTGATCGGAGAGAGAAAGCAAGCAAGCTAGAGAGGGCTTTTCAGATGGAAGTCGCTGTCTTTGATAACCTGATCTCACAAGTAACATCTCTGTCTACCCCGCATGTAAGGGGAGGGGCTCACACAGGGCGTGAGCACCAAGAGCCAGGGACCTTTGGAGGCCATCGGAGGCTGCCTAAAGCACTGACCATTTTACAGACACAACAGTTGAAATCTAGAGATATCAATGTTTCCCACGTTACAAAGTTAAAATGAAAATGGAGTCATTCTGATTCCCTGCTAAGCACCCATTAAGGATTATTTATAATTTAAATGTACATGCAATATAATAATTCTCAAAAAGTCAAGGAATACATTTTGTCTTGCTATGTACCAGACACTATTAAGTACTTTATATATGTCATCACATTTCATCCATAAAACAGCCCTATATGGTAGGTGTGCTTTTTGAATGCATTTTACAGGTAAGAAAAATGAGGAATAGAGAATTAAAATAAACTTCTCAAGGTCACGCAGCTAAAAAGTGTCAGGGCTGGCATGGAAACCCAGCAGTGTGGCTTGAGAGGTTATGTATAAAAATCTTCATGCCTCTTACACATACACAACCTAAAATCGAATGGCTATCTTAAAGTCATCAAAAGTCATTTTGTAATTCTTTTCTAAACTTAAAACAAGAGAGTTGTGGTGTCATTAATATTTTGAAGTTTGTCTGGGGAGGAAACTCACACTAAAGGCAAAAACACCTCAGATTAAAAATTATATACATTGTGTGTACTGACCAGGACAGGCATGTGCCGGGGGTCAGCCTGGGTCTGGAGAGAATGTCTAAAATGCTGAGTGCGCTGCTCTGAGATGAATGTTCTTCCCTCTTTCAAAGGAGTAAGAAAGCCACACACAGAGAATGCCACGCAGTACATGGGAACTACTTCTCCTCCTCTCCTGCTTCTCTCTGGTTTATAAAAGTTTCTCTTCCAAATGGCGATAAGTCACTTTAGAGAATGCATTTTCTAAAGGATGATTGCCCTTGAGCAGTGACACGCTTACGGCAGTAATCCCCAGAAATGTACTGCCTGGAGTGTCTTATTGCTTAATTAGAGCTGGCGCTGGGCCACTGCCTCTCAGCCCAGGACTAGTGCAAGAGGACTGGGAGGAGGCACAGGTATAAGAAGTGCTATTTCAGGAGGACATAAAGTAATGGCACAATGCCAACCTACAGAAAACAAAGCCAAACACTCTTGCTACCACAATGAAATGTCAAAATGCCTGGTTTCATTGTAGCCAGAGATTAAACCCATCACTGTGTCCGTGGCCAGGGTTTCAACATGATCTCTGTTGTTCTAAAAGAATTTCTAACCCTCACTCACAGGACCACAGGCCATAAAAGCACCCAATAATTTGGAAGATATCACAAACAGTTAATTGTAGGAGTCTAGAAGCTGTATGTTGAAGCATTTTAGATCAAGATCACAGACTAGCCAATTATTATAACTTTTCCAAACAGAAGGAGGAAGTCATCATTATAATTACATAAACACATTCACTTACTTCCTTGAGCAACCTACTATCTTTTGAAAAAAAAATACTACATTTTATCAAAGAGCAAATGGCTAGTTCATACCAAGTGCATGATAAAACTGGGAGACGCCAGCTCATGCTCTCCCAGCTCTCCCACCTGCTCAAGGGGCTTCTGGAAAAGCTTTACAATCATCAGCAACAACTTACAGCACCCGGCAAGTTTGACTTTTTCATATTCCCTACATTAGCAACTTCCTGCTACTGAGACACTCTCGCTGGGGGTTACAGTCCCGTATTAACTGGACCCTTTGTTCTTTCCCCAGCGATTGTTTCTGCCTCGCTAGAGCATTCATGAAGAACGAGGCAAGCTCCTTAATTGAAACTCTTGTCACCAAAGAATATCAACTCTGTGCACTGACAAAATAGACCACAAGAACACACCTTTGTGTTTACGATGAATGTCAATGGAAAAAATATATATGGTTATTCTTAATAAACACCCTTTTCCAATCATCTGATATTAATAGTTGCACTCTTCTTTCAAGATCAGGGCTCTTTCTGAACCAACAAATTATTGAATACCCAGTATGTTCTCATGGACAATAAACCAGCCCCCCCGACCAGTAACAATGTACACAGAGGCCTCAAATCTGAAAGACGTTATCACTGGGAGTCAATACAGCTAAATAGTATGTGGGGTGCAGGGCAACAGGAGGCCCCACTGGGTGCAGAGTTCTGGGGTATCGCATGTGTATCATCCCCCCAAAAGCTGGCCCTGCAGGAAGCCTAAAATGTAACATGTGAAATGCAGTTAAATACATACGCTCAAGAGCGCATAGGAAGTTTTTCATATATCAAGGCAGCCTGTTCATTCAGTCCTTCCTAGTCAATTCAGCAAAACAAACAAAAGCATCTTTCATCAAACTCCTATTTTATTTGCAACCAAACCACCAATATTTTACAACAGGAAAAGTCATCCTCAAATAGTTTGTGCTCACACCCAGTTGGCAAGGCTGATGAATGTTCTGAAACTACAATAAGAATTTTTGTGCATATATAATTATGAAGGCACTGTAGTAGTCTGCTAGAGAGAAAGGGTCATTCATCTGTGAAACCTTTTTAAAATGACAGGCAGAGGTAAGTAAAGAAGTGGGGGTGTGGGGGAGGGGAGTGAAGAGGAGTCTGTGTAAACATTAATGGAGGAATTCGGCAGAGTTAGCCTCTGGTTCCGGTTGAGTCCTTTATGGCATTTGTAATTTAACTTTGAGTTAGGAATTGAGTGTTCCTAATGCTGATATCCAGAAATACCACAAACCTCCATGGGAATTTCTGTTTTTCTTTAACAATGTTTGTTTCTCCACCATGTGGAAGTGGGAAAGCAGTTGACATCAGTCCTGACAGTGTGGGAGTGGCAGGTTTCAGAGACTCCTGGCGGAGAGAAGCGCAGAGCCATGATGCCACAGGTCGAGTGAGCTCATAGCTAGTACTGCCCAGCAAGCACTGCAGTCAGATTTATGTGCTGAGAAATCAAGTAATCATTGATGTTCCAGGCAAGTGTCTCCAAAGCTTGGATTTTACTGAATCATATCAAATGAGGGAGCAGAAACAGATGTATCTTCCCAACAGGGGGAAAAAAGACAGAGTTACAGCTCAGAAAGAAAGTATGTATGATGAGTATGTGCTCAATTACACCCCCATGCCTTTCCTGTCCACATGTATCTAGAATATGCAGTTTAGTTCAATGTCTAGGAATTGTTTGATATTCTATCAGCTTGGAGAAAAAGTTGACTGTTCCTAAAAATGTAATCATGGAATAGAATTATAACTTGTTTGTTTAGATGACTTTTGTTTAACTCCTTGAGTTACTGAGTTATTCCTACACTGCCAGTGACAGAGACTCATACCACTCTCTGACCTCTATCCAACCATGGAATCAGGAAAATATCTTCTTGATTTTTTAGCACAAAATACTATTTTCTCCCTTTAGCATTTTCTTTACAACCTACATATTTGATAATTGCCCCATATGTTGAGAGCATTTATAAGCCTTGAGATGTAATATTTTTTCATTGAATAAGTCATATATGATCCTGCTGTATGTGAGAAAGCATTATTATTGCTTCTCATTTTTAGGTCCAAGTTCAGGGATTATTTATTTGCAGAATGAAAAGTTTTACTTTTAAAAACAGAACCAAAGACACCCAACATTATAAAATGAGAATATTGTGCTCTTGTCCCTGACCCTTAGTGGACTCTGGTTATCTTTGGGTGAAGAACAGAAGAGGACCGTGTGAATCGCGTTTCCCCATCCCCTACTTAGCAACGTTTTTATGCATAGATTTCCCTCTATATTCATTTTTAACCGCATGGTCTGCAAGTTGGGAGGAAACCATATTCAGCTTTGGAAATTAAGAGTAAAATGTAAAATCCCCTTCGATAATACGGTAAATCTAATTCTCTCTTACTCCTACTAATTCCACCACTTACTTATACATAGAAATGTCCTTTTACCATTCCTTCCTTCCTCCCCTCCTTCCTTCCTTCCCACCCTCCTTCCTTCCTTCCCTCCCTCCTTTCTTCCCTCCCTCCTTCCCTCCTTTCTTCCTTCCTTTCTTCCTTCTGTCCCTTCCATCCTTCCCTTCCTCCTTCCCTCCTTCCTTCTTTCTTTTCTTCCCTCCTTCCTTCTTTCCTTCCTTCCTTCCAATTGCCATTAAGTTCTTGGGCAAACAAGCCTCACTAGAGACCACCATGGGACTTCCTAGGGCCATGCTGACTCCTGCCCTGGCATCTAGGAAGGTGCTGATGGGCTAAACAGGAGGCTGGACATTATTTGCGTTCCCCCTTGATTGATGGCGTGCTTGGGGTGCTTGCATGCTCTTTACTTACTTAACATCCAAAAAGTCAGCCACTAATAAAAGACATGTTTAATTAGATGTCAATGAAATAAGCTGAATTCACGCAGCCATAAATTTAAATTGGCAACTCTAAATTTAGATTTCTTAAATGGTTTAGACAACTATTTTGTTCAGGCGATAATATTTCAGTACATGTTCTGTCTTACATTACTACTTCAAAATGAAAATGAGTAAAGGATTCCTTTTCCAGAGTAGCCATAAATCAATGCTTTTTTTTTTTCTTAAAAAGCTTATGGAAAAAATAGTCTCACCCTTCTGATTTATTTCTCTCTTTTTCCCTCTGTCTCTCACAGTTAGAAACTGATTGCTTGTTATCTTTGTTTTTGTAGTAGCACCACATCCTCACTGCACTTCTCCAGCCAAGCTAACAGTTTCTGAGATCCTTCATCCAAAAGAACACAGGCACGTTCAGTTCTTTCTGTCTTCCTTCTTTTATGTGTGCTACTGGATTTCTGAATTCCAATTGGAACCACAGGACCAGATGTGTTGAAATATATTCAGTATTTTAAAAAAAAAGAAAGAAAGAAAAAGAACATTACTTATATTAATCATCTTTTCTCAACTTGACATGAATTTAGAAAATCCTGTTAATAATGTTAGAAAATCATGATTTAAATATTCAAGAAAAACAGAAAAGTGCTTTTTATTCTCTAAAGATTTTAGTTATCATACAATGTTTGATCTACTTTACATTTCATTCAGTAAAAAAGACTTATCCGTTATTTTTTGCATAGATATTGTCAGTTTGAGAGACTTTTCCTTAGTAAAAATGCAACGAGAATGGCTACATAATTTATGGGGCTCAGAGCAAAATAAAAATGTGAGGCTTTTTTGTTCAAAAGTTATTAAGCATTTCAAGACAGTCACAGGAGAGCATCAAACTAAGCACAGGGCCCTTTTGAGTGAAGGGCCTTATGTGGCAGCACAAGCCACATAGCCGTGAAAGGTGGTTCTGCTGGTGGCATACTCGAGCTACTTCTAAGTCTTATGCTGTATAACCACATTTCCTGCCACCGAGCTATACTAGAGAGATGCAAACCTCAAAAAGTTTGGAGCTTTTATTTCTATTTCCAGGTATCAAGTGGATATATGTTTTTATAAATTACATTGGTTAAAAAAAATGAAGATTTTTTTAACATTTTTTGAGCTTTTGGATGTCAGCCAGGTTGGTAAAAAAGAAAAACTCAGTAGGTGATAAATACCCCATTACCCTGATTTTATTAATTCACATTGCATACCAGTATTAAAACATCACAGGTACTCTATAAATATATACAACTATTATGTACCAATAGTAGCTCAAAACAATTTTTAAAAAAGCAATAAAAAATAAAAAAAAACCCTCAGTAATATTTTTCTAAGATAGAAGAATACTAGTACCTCATGTGAACATGCTGGTGATTAGAGTCCGGGAGCATTTAAAGCCTTCAGAGTTGGGATTTACTCATCTCCTTTGGAATACTTCTCTCACCTCTAAGTTCATGTGAATTGATTTTGGCAAAATACAAAATACAAAAATAGGATTCACAAAATAATAGCCTCAACTCTAACCAATAAGCCACGCAGTCATTCCCTCAGTCGGTTAGTCTGGTAGTCACCAGTCAGCAATTTTTTTTTCTTTCTTTTGAGACAGGGCCTCACTGTGTTGCCCCGTCTAGAGTGCAGTGGTGTCATCAGAACTCAAGGCAACCTCACACTCCCAGGCTCAAGTGATCCTCCCGCCTCAGTCTCCTGAGTAGCTGGGACTACAGGTGCGCACCACCACGCCTGGCTAATATTTTATTCTTTGTAGAGACAGGGTCTCGCCACTGCCCGGGCTATCAGTCAGCGTTTGTATTCCCTGTGTTTCGCACCTGCAGAGAGAAGGAGTTACAAAAAGGAAAAGGGAGACAGTCTGTAAGGCAAATGCTGCCATCTAGAGAGACGCGGAGGAGAACATACCGACAGCGGTAATTTTTCAAGTAAAATTCCAACACAAATAAAAAGCTTTAGACAGTGAGTAGGAAAAGTTTCCAAGAAGAGATCATCCTTTCAGAGAAATCAGCATTTTGTAAAAAGGTGCCTTTGAAAATTCATCTAATTCGAGATGATAGATTGCTATGCTAATAATTATATACAGCAGGGAACTTCCCAAGAGATTTTATTAATGTTTAATTGGGAACCTTTAAAGATGATTTTCCTAAGCCTGTTAGGAAAATGACTGCATGGCAGCTAGCTGTTTTACCTGTCTAAAAAGTAAATGAGTACATAGCTTTGTTTCTGATTTATCTTGTTTAAACAAATAAACAAAAAAAGCACAAGAAGATTGAATTATTTGTAATATATTGGTCAGTTTACCTCGTTTTCATGGCACAGCGAAAAGAAATGATGTTTACTCTCAAAGTGGCTTTAAAAGAGTACGAATTGCAAAATTCAAACCCAGAGACAAACACAGAGAATTTGCTTAAAAAGAATATACTCAAAAAATCAGGTGAAAAGGCAGGGATCTAGCTTGTGTCCATATATTACATGTGCAGATGTTTAAACAACTCATCTTTTAAAAAAGAATAGTGCATACTGAGGCCGCAATACCCAAATCTACTCAGCTAGACATGCCCCCAAATGTTTCTAGTAACTTGTATTTGAGTATACATTGTCTGGATTACCATAAAACAATTAAACTCTTATTTAAGAAATGTCCTAAATCGTCTTGCAATCCAAGCATTACGAACAGAAATAGGCTATACAGTTCCCTTTTTCAGCTACTCAGCATTTGTCTGTGTGGAAGTTCTAAAATTTAAGATTTTATCATAAATTTCAAATTTTTCTGAGCCATATACTTACCTGAGACACATTTTTAGAATATATTTATATATACATATATAAGTATATTCTATCTATATATTTTAAATGATAAGAATAATCTATAAATTGAGATCTGCCATTAAACAGAAGGCATCCTGCCTCTTCATATCCAGTAATAAGAATCCCTATAATTATTTGAGTAATATCAGCATTATTCATTCATTCGGCAACCATTTATTAAACACCTGCTACACCCCGGGCACTGTCGTGTGTGCTGGGGCAGCAACAGTGAGCAAATACGGTGCTCAGCTCAGCCTGAGCCTCAGGACATCCCACGGGCAGTAAATGTTTCCAAACTTAGAGAAACTCGCCCAGGGTCTTACGGCTAACAACTGAGAAAGTGAATTTTGAGTTCGGTCTCTGCTTATTCATAAATCAAAAAATTTTAGAGCACATCCTATTGCCTCCCGTATAGTTACTGCTTCCTGCTCTGATGGAAGTTTTAATTTTCAGTGATGTGCGAAGCTGCAACAGGTGCATATCAAGGTGGTATTTGGAAAATATATTAGGTTTCTCAAAAACACTTAAATTCTTCACAGAATAACTAGTTATTAGGGATTGCAAATCAAAACCACGATGAGATACCATAAAAAAGTTCCAGAAGTAGAGGCGATGGTTACAGGGCAGTGTGAGTACAGTAGTTCCTGCTTAGCTGCAGTTTTGCCTTCCACTGCTTCAGCTTCCTGTGGTTTCAGTTACCTACACACAACCTCAGTCTAAAAATATGAAATGGTAAATTCCAGCAATAAACAATTCATAAGTTTTAAACTGCACACCATTCTGAGTGGACTGATGAAATGTTGCTCCATCCCACTCAGCCCTCCCAGACGGGAATCCTCTCTTTGTGCCTTTAGTCACTTGGCGGCCAGCTCAGCTCATTCGTCAGATAGACTGTCGCGGTATGGCAGTGCTTGTGCGCCGGTGGCCCTTGTTTTACTTCCTAATGGCCCCAAAGCATAAGAGTCGTGATGCTGGCACTTTGGATGTGCCAAAGAGAAGACATGAAGCGCTTCCTTTAAGTGAAAGATGAAAGTTCTCAGCTCAATAAGGAAAGAAAAAAAAATCATATTAATCATATACTGAGGTTGCCCAGATTTACGATAAGGATGAATATTCCATCAGTGAAATTGTGCAGAAGGGAAAAGAAATTTGTGCATAGTATACAGTAGGTAGGGTTCGGTACTTTCCTCAGTTTCTGGCATTCCCTGGGGGTCTTGGAATGGATCCCCTGTGACAAGGGGGGAACTACTGTATACTTAATGGCACTGAATTGTACACTTAAAAACAGTATGACATACAACATATGTTTTTACGACATACCATAAAAAACTCTTGCACAGGGGGTAATGGAGTTCTCTGGGTTGCAAGTGCATTGGGAACCAGGAAGGACAGGTAAGTGATGAGAAAAGAGGGGTGAGAACAAAATACACCATCTCCATTAACACTGTTTAAAAAAAAACAAGCAAAATGTTATTTGCCTACTACATAATTTGAACAAAGTACACCCCTAAATACATATTAATAGTATGGAATAAATTTCTTGTCCCTACTATAATTTATCATCCATGGATGTCAGAAAACATCACATCCACTTTTGGCAGCAAAAGGCAGACAAAATCAAACAATGCATTTGGGGCGATGGTTTTTATTAGGATACTATTCTTTGAGTTATTTATCTGGAGAATGTAACACTAGTTAGCTTTCTTTAAAAGTCATTATATGGTAAAATCTAAAAATGATAGAGCACACTAAGCAGAAATGTTGTATTCTTCATTATCTCATCTTAAGAATTTAATACCAAGATTCATGTGTACCAAGCAATTTCTTCCAAAAACAATCCTGTATTAGAGAAAGTTTAACAATTTGACATGGACTGTATTAGTATTTTTATAAAAGTAACTATAAAATGCAAAATATTATGAAGTATCCATGTCAGAGACTTCAAAAATTGTACATCCATACAGTGCCCAATACAAAGCTATTAAATCAACATCTTAATATCTGACATTTAATTGGCCAGCATGCCGGCCTACTGTTGATATCTATCTGGTTATGAATTAATCAAAGGGAACCTGACATAAATTCAGTGTCAATATCCTTATATAAAATTCACTAAATTTAAATTCACTATGTTTATATTTTCCTTTTCAACATCCCTTTATTTTTTCTGTTTACTATTTCTACACATATTGATTTAGATCCAGAATCTGAAAACCTAAAATAAATCATACCAGATAAAAATAAATTTGAATTCCAGTCTAATTGAGAAGGACTCAATTGTTTTTACATATCTTTAAAATTCACCAGAATTAATATTATAAAAAGTGTAATTCTTTTTCATGTAAGACCAGAAGAAATTGTAGAAGTTGACAGGTTTTTCTGAACCCAATATATAAATATTAAGCATCTATTATATATGGGAGTGTAGATTCAAATCCTTAATTTATGTTTAAAACAACTCTAATGAAGAGCGATTAAATGATTAACAAGTACTGAAGAAGAACTACTGAAGTAATATTTCCTGGGTTCAAATCCTGGCTTTGCCATTTATTGTATGGCCCTGGGCAACTGATTTTAATTTCTTTGCCCAGTTTCCTAATCTGTAAAA